GAAAGGGCTGTGTGAAGGCGGGATAATGCAATGACAATATTCTAGCTTACACTAGAACTGATATTTATTTTTGTAGGTGCAGGCTTTGTCTGTGTTGCTATAAATGTGACGTCTGTGCATTTTAAATATGTTCTAAATGTGCTTTTCCTTGACTGTCTAATAATAATAATAATGGGTTTCATTTATAAAGCACTTCATATTTGACTTCAAATCCCGAAGTGCTACAAGCAGTGAGCATGAACAGTATAAAAACAGTACCCAACATGGTAGAATGAATAAAAAGCAATAAAAAACAAACAAAATAAAAGGGTGGTAATAAATAAAAGGTCTAGGGAAAGGCTCTATTGAATAGATGGGTTTTGAGGCCTTTTTTTAAAAGCTTCCACGTCTGTGGTGCTCGTATGTGGTCGGGGAGAGCATTCCACAGCCGAGCAGAAGGCCCGGTCTCCCATAGTACGGACCTTGGTCCTGTGGGGTCTGAGGAGGTTGGAGTTGCTGGAGCGGGGGTGGTCCGCAAGGAGGTATTGGGGGTGAGGAGTTCCTTGAGGTAGGGGGGGGGGGGGCAGTTCCATGGACACACTGGTGGGTGAGGACGGAGACCTTGAATTCGATCCTCAGTTCCACAGGGAGCCAGTGATTTAAGGATGGGGGTGATGTCTGTCTTCCGCCCATAGATCAAATAAGGACAACTAACTGCATATAGAGAAGAACAAGGTGTACTGTTGTCTGCAATGATGCATGTTCTCATGTAAATTAAGTACGTTTTAAGGAAGATTTTCTGGTTAAGTAAGTTTGTTTGGTATTTACATCGTAAGAAGCAGCTGAATGTTTAAACATTTAAAATAAAAAATGAAACAGTGACCAGCTGTTAAACTAGAGGAAGAGAAGACACTCTTTTATGATTTTCATTATTGCTTTTACAGAATATTTTTTCTTCAATCTTTACCTCAAACACTTTTGATTTACTAATGTAGAATACATGCAATGTAATGTAATGTAACACAATTATGTTGTTAATATTTAACATCAGCCTGACTGTCTTCTTGTGGTCTTTTACTCATATTATGATTCTGACATTTTGAACTTGTCTATAACAATCATACCACAGACTGATTTGCAACATTTGAACTGTTTAATTTGAGGGTTTTCCTATCTTCTTCAGCCAACTTTAATTTCATTTTCAACTGTGTCACATGCAGCACACAAATCAAATCAAGTTTTATTTATATAGCACACTTTTAAACGATTTTTGGTCGAGCCAAAGTGCTGTAGCCTACATATAATAAAAAATAACCTATAGTAAAGACACTTTTAGAAAATACAACAGCACAGTTTGTGCAGAATATCAGTAGAGTGAAGGGTCACAGAGTGAAGGGTCATTATTCTGTTGTAGTCCTTAGGGTTAGGGTTCATTTGTGAGCCATCACGCTTCAGAAAGTACACAACTTGCCTTCAGAGATCTGTACTTCTGTGATAATAAAAACATTGGCCACATCACCACAGCCTGTATGTTTCTTTGTTTAAACTTGACATCTGTATCATGACTTTATCAATCCTAAAATACTTTCAAGATGTTCCTTCAAGGAGGGGAGAGAAAAAAAGACTGCCGTGAGGCGGCTGGAGGTATGTGAAAGCCCTATGTGAAAGAGCAGTGATTTAGTGCTTCAATACACACGGACTGTCACACCTCAGAAAAGTGGGTCCACGTCTCCTGTCAGCAATAATTCACAGTTAAGATGAGGCGAGTCAAGATATCCCAAGCAAAACAGAAAAATAAACATAAGAGGGCAATAGTTTACCAGGAATTTTTGATTGGATTGTGGGATATAAACTCACACTGTGTCGTATCAAAACCAGACCCTCGGTTTTAGAAATTAAACCAAGTTTTCCCCTTCTCTTGCACATGGTCACTGACTTCCCTTGGCCGGACTTGCATCCAGTAAAAATCCCCAGAGTGATTCTGAGTCTGTAAAAATGTCTGAAATGTGTTGGAAGGGAAAGATCAATGGCTGAGACAGGAGGGGATTATGGGATACCCTCCAGTCAGCGTGCTGTCACTCAAAATGGGCTCAAAGCAGCAGATTAGGCACCAGATCCCTCTCATCTCTGTCAGAGGATCTCGTTAAAATACCCCGTCTTGTATCTCCAATTGTTCCAGTTTCATGTTTTACGGCAAGGCCGGACACACTCTGCCATTAATCAATCAAAGTGATCGTTTGCATATTTTGTTTCTAATGAAAGACGCCACGATGAAAGGCGGAGAGTGGCTGTTACTCAAGCTCGGCCATTCTTTTCCACTTAAGGACCTGATTGATAGTTTACGATATAAAAACAGACCTGCTGTGCATTATGTCATTCTCTGCACCCATGCACTGCTTCTTTTTACAAATACATCTCCTAATTTAACAGGCTCTGAGGTAAATCTGCAGGGAAAGTGGGGATGGGGGGGGGGGACATGCTGCTGGAACAAGAGAAGGGGTGTATATCAGGCAAATAACATGAATAATTATTGGAAATAATGTCCAGATAGATGGAGTGGAGCCAAATTGTGAAATCATGCGCTTCTCTCCGGTGCAACACCCCCCTCATTATTTTAAGTCATGCTTGGAAAAACAGGTGTTTCCAATCCTGGGTCGCTGTCTCCACGGTCGTGCACCCCCTTCATTTTCTGATAGTTCAGATATGATATTTCATGGCTGGAGCTGTACGCATGATAGGAAGTGATTGGGGAGAGCCGTTCAGAAGACATCCGTGTAATGGACGCTGATTGGCCCCTGGATAGTTCCCTAGTCTGAGCCTGTGTAACCACAAAGCTGGAGTAAGAATGATCCTAAATACTGTTTTTCCTCTTCAAATTATTATTTCAAGGTGATTTTCTCTGTCTCTGAAAACAGGTGCCATATTTATGTGAGTGCATCTGAGTGCATTTGACACCAGAGCTTTATTCTTCATTCTTATAATAAACAGAACCAGCAGGGATCAAATGTGTCTTTTTTTGGGTCTTTTTCCTCCAGTTCGGTGTATGGTGGATGCATTGCATCAGCGTTTGAAGCTGGAGCCTGTGATGTGGTGCAGGGCAGATGGGTGTGTGTGTTTTATACTGTAAGCTCTTATGTGATTAATAATCATGTCATTCATTGTTATGTAGCCTCGAGGCTCTGACTTACGATTCAAATCTTAAACCGTTATAAAAAATAATTGAACAGCAATTTCCAATAATTAATCCGTAAATTCCTGTTTAACAAATACCATGTTAAAGGGAGGCAATCCTCATGACACGCATTTTTAAATAATTATCATCCGATAAAACAGACCAGTCTCTGCCAGTCTTTTTTTTTTTTTTTAATCCGATAACGTTATCAGTGATTTTAAGCTGATTAATTACCGAAATAACATCAACCCTGTGGGCGGCGCCATTTTGACGAGTCACATGACTTATTTTACCGGAAAGTGACGTGAACTATGCGTTTGGTGTCGAGGACAAATTGACGTATGTGCTTTGTTCATGTTGTTTACTCTAGTTACTCTCACAATTCTATTGAAATATGCCTCATTGTATCGCGAAACATTGCCACAATTCGGATAGGAACAATCCACGGAATGCTCGGTTCCATCTATTGCCAGCGGGTAAGCGTATGAAGTACGTTCGGAGGCAGTGGCTAGAGAAATGTGCTCGGCCCGAACCGAAAGATCCACAGGCGCATGTATGCAGCGAACATTTCAAGTTTCCGGACGACTACTCTGAGAGTATGATGAAACATAAAATGGGATTTATTAATCAACCATTACTTAATGGGGATGCAGTGCACTGCCAATGCCAGCCAGCGTAAGCCCATTACGAAGCAGATTTTACTTATTGTTTACTACGTAAGGAAGCAGGAATTGCAGGACCCAGAGCGCACGGAGCACAGAGCGGACAGCAGATAACGGAATTGCAGTTTTATTGCTTATAAATTATCAGAACATTTCAAAGGGGACACAGTCACATTGGATAACCTCGCGAGTTTGTATCTTTCAGTGTTGAGGTGAGCACCGTTAGATTCTGTGTCTTTACGATCATAAACGATGTGTTGGATGTGGAGCTAGGACAAGTAATAAGGGAGCTAGGAGCGATTTTCGGTGCAGTAATAGGTTAGCATTTTTCACTCGGGGCTAATTCAGAGGCTCACTGTTGTTAGCATTGTGGGTTTTTTGAAGAAAAACTTTTTTTTTATATGGATATAAAATATTCATAGTTTATTAAATATTAAGGTTCCTTAGACGTTGTTTCCTGCAAATGACGCGATTTCGGCCCCGGAACCGGGTCCGTGGGGCCTAAGAGGATAACAGAGTATGTTTTTTGTTTTTTTTTACAGTTGTATTTGGATGGAATGAATACCTATAGTGATAATTCAAAGTAATAAAATGATTTTTACAGTGAAAAAGGTCAAATGGAACTGATGGTTCCCAAATTACCTAGAGGTGAGTCTGGACTTTATTTTTCTAAACTTCTTCCTCGGCTGACGAGTCCGAACTCAAATAATCCGCCATGTTTTCGTCGAATGAGCTGTTCGTGTGTTTACAAAGTGAACGCATAGATGATGTCACGACCTAGTTTTTCGGATCATGTGACTACTGAAAATGGCCAAAATGGCAGCTGCCTGACGGAATATACAGGTTTTGATAAAAAAGAGCTATAAAATCATTATTTACCGGGGAATATCGCTGATTTCTTCAGGGTATGGTTTAAACATAATGTTTCACTAAATACTGAAGTTTTTATTAACTATCTAATGACTGGAGCCTTCCTTTAAGGTATCATTTGTTATTATATAGTACTTCAAGTAAACTTTGTAATTTGTTGTGCTAATGTGCTTTCAATACTTTTTTATGAACGACTCTTGTTCCTGAGTTTTCAGAAAACACTGTGTGTTCTTCATTTCTGCAGTTATAGGCTACAATATTAAGTTAACTTTGAAAATCTGCTGCTAACGAGGGGAAAATAAATCAAAACCATGTTCATGAATTGAAACGTTTATTGAGCTTTTTACGTGCTTGGCACCTGTATTTACATTTTTTTTTTAAATGCCTCAAAAAAAAGAATTACTTTGCCATTTCCCTTTTTTTCACACATTTTAAAACAGATTGGCCAGTAAAATTGTTATATTGCTCAGCACTTAAATACATATCTCTACAACACACCAAAACATACTTCAATTTCTCCGTCTGCTATTGCTTCTTTAATAACTTTTTCACACAACAACTTTTAAGCTTATGTTATTGATTGCATTCGCCATCTTATATATATGCTAAAAAACATAATCCACTCAAAAATAGTGAAGCCATTCCAGTCTATGAGGGTAAGGGGTTGATGAAGTCCACGTGTTTCCACACATACTTCATCCTGTGTGGAGCAGTGAGTCCTGCAGAGATCTTGTCCAGTTGTCCCTTTCATTTCAGCCAAACTTCAGACCATGGTGGCAAACCACTGACCTCCAGACGATTTGGCACAAGTGCTGCGTGAAGAGAAAACTCCTGGATCACAGTGAAGATTCTTTGGTTGCAAAATGTCTTGACTGCAAGGCCTTCGAGTCCCAAGAGTGTCCCTTGAAAAGAGTGTTGCTACTATTGCACTGTAACAGCTTCACAACTGATAATCCCTTCTGAACTGGAGCATGTGGGCCCCTTCTTTATCACAATCTGAGTTTGGTTGTTTCTCTCTTGTCGGTAAGAGTAAGAGAGTCAGGTTGCTGTCTCTATCTTCACTTCATAATACAAAGATAATTAAATAATAGTTTTGACTCCCTCTATAATGCTTTGTATGTTGTGGAGTGTCTTTAAAAACAAATGATGTCCTTTTCTGAAAGGCTTGTTTCGTACCTCAGTACATAAGCGCTTCATGTAAAAACACCGGTCCAACATCAACACCACACCGGGTTTATAGCTTTCCAGCTGAAAGACTTTAGAAACATGGAGGACTGTGAGGTTCAATCCAAGTTTCTACACCATGTGCATGGACATCTGAGAGGAGGAGCCATACTGACGTCCATCGCAGGAGCTGCCGCCCTGCTGGCCGCCGCTGTTGTTGCCGATCATGTGCATAGTGTCCATGCTCCCGTTGGACAGGTACTGGCGCTCGGCGAAGGCCCCGGCTGAAGACGAGGAGCAGAGCAAACCTCCCTGAGGCTTCTCGGGGCTGGCAGCCAGACGAGGGGAGGTGGGGAAGTTGTATCCGTACAGGTTGTAAGGGTTGTGCAGGGAGAAAGCGTTGTAGGAGCCCTGCTGCACGTGGTGGTGGCTCCCGCTGAACATGTGGGGGGAAGGGGAGGATCCTGATGAGGAGGAAGGGACGGAGCCTGAGCCTCCTCCGGCCTGCATCACGTACTGGAGCTGCGAGGCCGGGAAGGAGCCCAACTGACCGCCATAGGCATCCATCTTTCCTCCAGAGCCGCCACCACCACCGCCGCTCAGGGAGGCGTGAGGGCCGCCCTGCATGCCAGCAGCGATCAGGGAGGAAGTCCTCTGCGGCAGGAAGGATTCAGAAGGCTGCCCCGAGGCCACAGCGCCCCCTGCAGCCTGGAGGCGTCCGTAGGAGCTGTCGGCTAGGCCGCCGTAGCCCTGCAGGGCGGCCATGTTGCTGCGAGCGCAGGCCGGGTACTCGGACAGGCCCAGGTTGCAGAGCTGACTCTCCCTGCAGCCCACATTGAAGGTGTTGGGGGCCAGGTGGAAGGTGGGAGGGGAACAGGAGGGAGACAGGAGGTGAGCCGCACCAGAGGGGGAGGGGGTTCCTGTGCTGGAGGTGGTGGGAGAGGTGCCTGTACTTCCACCTGGCAAACACAGATACAGAGAGAGTGAACACAGCGGCATATAACAGAAGAGCACTTGAGCACATACAAAGAAAACAAAATCTACAGGTTTTCATAAAGATTATAATTGGAGAATCCAAAAGGGACTTCTATTGTTCAGGGTTTGTTTCATCTTCGGATTGAACATTTCATAAAATTAATTATTAACAATTTTCATTGTGAGAGGGTTACTTACTGTATATACTTTAAATACTAAAATCTAGTTGGAAGGATTTTAAGGTTGTACATCAAATTACTCAGTTATTTGAAAATCAACCATAAAAAACTGGAGCATGTGAACATGTTTATTTTATCGTACAACAGCTTTATTTATTCTACATAAAATAAGAAGCTATAAAAGTTAGGCAAGAGCTAAAACATTTTTTTTGTTTTTGATATGATGGAAAAGTGACATGAATCCCCTCCGGCCTCTGACCTCCCTGTGGAGGAGATCAAGAAACAAACAGGATTTCCCTGCGGAGAGGAATTAGAGTTACCCCCAGTTTCCACTGGGTCCGGCTGCGCCGCGGTTTTGGTCCGACCTCCTCTAGCGCCATAACCCACCGGACGCGTCCCAGAAGCGTTTCAGAAGCGTAGCGTCGTGCGTGCAGGCTCGCAGTTTTGTTATTGATTCGGGCATACTTTGTACTTCTACAAGAAAGTAAGTAGGCTACGTAGTTAAATGTTTTATTTTTGTGTCTGTTTAAATTGTGTTTATTGAATGGCTCTGTACTGTACCTACAAGTATTAATTAACTTTAAAACATTAATATGTAGTTGTTACCTTCCACTCCACAAACTGCAGTGACTAAAAACCAGGCCTTGTCCTTTCTGATGTTGTCCTTGTAGTAAGCATTGGTTACATCATATAAAATAGTGTGTTTTTCCACTTCCATGATGAAAACCTCGTCGTCCATTGTGCGTATCGTAGTGGAGGTGTTGTGATGAAGGAGGGAGGTCTGCTAAATTAGTATATGTGAGGGATGGGCCTGGCCCGGATGCTCACCTTTCCACTTCCTGCGAGGGGGGGCTGCCTGCCCGACCTTACGTTACGGCTGCGCCGCGGCAAAAATAGGATTCATCCTAATTTTAGAGAAGCGCTGCGCCGAGCCGCTTCTGGGACGCGTCTGAGCCGTAACGCGGCGAGTGTGGTGGAATAGCACCCATTGACTAGAGTGGCCGCGATCCTTACGACCGCCGCGGCGCAGCCGTAACACGGCGCAGCCGTAACATGGCGCAGCGCGGCGCAGATGGACCCGGTGGAAACTGGGGGTTAGCCTCTCAGAGCCAGACCTCCACATCCTCTGTGCCCTATGGCAGAGCTGGAGAAATGTATTTCACGTGTTGTGGTTAATGGTTGCAATGTCTATTTAAAACTGAATTGAATGTTTTCAAAGCACTTTCTAATTTTAAGATCGGATTTTGATATTTTTTATTGTCGTATTACCTCATCCAATATCTTAGAAAATGTTGTTGCCTTCAAGACCGAATTAGTTTCTAAATGTACTATTGTATGTCCACAAAATGAACCAAGGTAAGTTTTAACCAGATTCTTCATCATTTAGTGTGTATCTGTAAATTTGAGTGTGTGTCATCAATGGGAGCATTTCCAAGTGGTGCAATGGCTCAGATTAAGCTACATTACAAATATAACCTTGTTGTTCCACTTGAACATTTTCAAACTCCTAACTTGAGCCTAATTGCAGGACCTTACTATTTGAAAGTTTGGATGAGAGATCATGAATTGAATCATGCCATACAGTGTATTGCTGGTATGTGGAGAAAATATGGCTTCAGTTTGACCATGTCTGGTCAACAGAGCCGCCCCACATCCGCAGGTCCTTTCTTTAATAAAAAGTGGCGGACTCTTAAGAGTTTGGACATGTACTGTAGTGATTCAGCTGAAGGGGGCTGGCACAAATTGTATCCAGTAAGTCTAGCCCTTTCAGAGTGAAATGATAGCTGGGGGATATATCAATCACATATTTCTCTATTAATGAGAATTTGGCCGGGGTTCATCTCGCTGTTGAAGAAATTCGGTTTGAACCCGGAATGAGGAGGAGGCATAACTAAATAATCCAGGACTCGCTTGGCTTGGGTTCTGATTTTGCACCATATGCCTTCGATAATATCGCTGCAGAAGATGAGGGAGGGGGCTTGTGGGAAGGGAGAGAAATAAAAGAAAAAGGGGGGAGACGTATGAGGAAAAAGAGAGGAGGGAAGAGAGGACTGTAGTTTGGTGATGTCATGTTTTCCTCTGGTTAAAAGGGCTCGAGGTGCTTCAATGCCGAGGGGGAATAGTTGATTACTCGAAGGGAAAAGAGTGTGCTGTGCCATAAGGGCAAAGACACACTTACACATACTGTGACACAGGGTTCACTGGCGGTGCGAGGACTTTGATTACATCCTAAACACTTCGGAGGAGTTTAATGATAACAAATACATGTCCCTCTGCTCAGACACAATACGGAGCATCACGTCATGTTGACCTCTCCGGAGGTGACCGAGATAGGGTCTGTGAGGAAACTTAAAAAGTGGCGTGGGCCATGACTAAGACCCTGTGCTGGCGGTGACTCGTGTCGCGGAGTCGTCCAAGAGCCCCGGGGTTTCTTTAACGATTTTATTTTCAAAAGCCGCGCGTGATGTGAAAAGTTCAGCAGACTCCTGCAGACCTGCCAGAGCAGCAGCGTATGGCCAAGCTCAAATAAAGGACAACCATAGCTGATGTGGTGTGTGGTGATATATGCAGGGGAAAGAGTTCAGGTTGGGACAGTATGCTCCAATTACCGCTAGCCATTAAATATACAATGTTAAATAACTTTACCTTGTTATAAACTTCAAAACACTATGTTGCTTAATTAGGAACAAATGATACCATATTTAAGTTAATTGCAATAATTGTTGTTGTTGTAATGGATCACAAGAATAACCATCCATTGTTTTGTGCCAACAAATGAACACAGTCACATCTGTAAAGGGGGTATAAAGCTTTAATGGCAGCAGTGAGTATTGTGGGATACCACAGTTGTGCTTAAAGTGGTCGCCAAGAATTCACATTAAAACGAAGAATAGCTTAGTTTCTCTTTAATCCACAACACTGGAATAGATTTAAATCAGTGACTACTAAAAGAATGGGTTTTTTGTAAACTGTTTTAGTATTCTCCCATATGAGTTATTTAAAGGGTAATACGCTGATCTAATGGGGGCTCTAATGTGTCATACAAATGGTTTATTCACATAATATGTATGTACAACTCTAACAAGAGTTTTTAGCACTGTGCCTAGCATATCTGGGATCAGTTATTCAAGTGGAGACATAGAGACCAGGCTCTTGTTTTGGTAAGAAATCTGTCTTTTACTATTCTGCACAAAATCTCCTTAAAAAAAACAACTTAATATAAAATAAGTAGAAAGAAAAGACTGAGGGGGAATTTGGAGTTTGTCGATTTGTTATCGTATGAGCAAATGTTTTAATCACACACCTTGCTGTTTCTGCATGTTGGTGAAGTCTTCAAACGTGAGCGTCCTCACAGGAGGTCTCCAGAAAGCGTAGGTCTCCATGATCGCCTCCAGGCCGGTCCTGACAAAGAGACGAGCAGAGAGAGATATTTAAGGATATCAAAAGAAAAGGGACAGTTATGATATCTGCATGTGTGTGTGTGTTGACCAGATGGCAGGAACAGAGAAAGAGTTTGATGGAGAGTGAGACAGAGAGGGAAGATTTCATTGTTGATGTTTTGGTAGACGGGAAATTATGAGTTGTTCCAAAATCTCGCCTGTCACCAAAGGATAACTACTATTTGTAGTATTTGTTTTAATAATCACTATATTTCTTTTTCTAACCCAGCACAATCTGATTATTTTCCTGAAAACCGTAACATTAAATAAAACCCATTTTTTTCTCACATTTCATTCTGTAGAGATATATAGATTTTAATTTTGATGTTTTACCTCTTATTTAATGTCAAATGTTGCCTTCAATCAGGACCTGTATCATCACAAGATGTGTGTGTGTGTGTGTGTGTGTGTGTGTGTGTGTGTGTGTGTGTGTGTGTGTGTGTGTGTGTGTGTGTGTGTGTGTGTGTGTGTGTGTGTGTGTGTGTGTGTGTGTGTGTGTGTGTGTGTGTGTGTGTGTGTGTGAGAGAAATTGGAGTCCTGCTCTGAGGAAACTGGAGCCATTAAAAAGGAGCAGGTTTTAAGTGTGCACATAAATCTGGGTGACGTTTCATCTTGAATCTGTACACGGTTCTCCTTCCTGCCTGATTTACTTCCCTGCAGGCCGCTCGGCCCCGTCACTTCTCACCGTGTTATTTTAGGGCCGTGGCAGCTCGTTAGTGTGCCATGCTAATCGCCATCACTGCACACACACACACACACACACACACACACACACACACACACACACACACACACACACACACACACACACACACACACACACACACACACACACACACACACACACTCATACACACACATAAGGACCAAAACACAACAAATGAGCTGTATCCCTCCGCTGCAGGCCATAAAGCCCGGTCACCAGACTGCACCATAACGTAGAGCGGGGGAGAGATCTATATTAAGAAGCTGTTAGCAGAGTCAGGAAAAGGAAAACAAGCTGGTGCTTAATCCAGGGATTATTGGTGCCGGTTTGCCCTTTACATTAATTCTGAATTCCCCCCTTAATGTGGAACTAGTCGGTAATGCTCCACAGGCTGCAGACACTCTTAATCCAAAAATGGGGCTGTGTTTTCATGCATGCTTTCTGGATGTCTGTTAATAAACTCATTTCCTAAACTAGTATAAACTGAGTTATGTTTAACAGACGTGTGGCAGAAAAGGTGTCACGGCTGTTTTAACGTTTGCATTCTGGCTGAATTGACTGCAAAAAGGTCAGTAAAGACAGTTGTTTTACTTTAGGATGAACATTTTTATTAATTATCTTACATTTCCTCATAAATAATGATAGATAAATATCATAAATAAATGATTATTAACCAGCATTTTCCTTAGGTAAATTGAACCTCAAAATGTAGTGCTTCATTTTTTATTGAATTAGGTAAATGCAGAGTCTTCACTACAGAATCTACGGAATACCGAGGTAAACTGAATATTTGTGTACACAAGATTTAAGATAATTGCACTAGTTAGATGTTGTAATTGCAACTATTTGTTCTCCATCAGAATTACTATCTGGTTCTCTGAGCTCACTTTTGTCGAGTGATATATTCTCTGCCTTTTCTTTGTGATTAACCTTTTTCATACAATTCAGCTTCATTGTAACTAGGATCATTTAAACAAGCCAAACCAAGGCAACCAAAGATTTCCAAACATGACAGATATGTTGGCGCACTCCAGGGAATACAAAAATCTGATCTGATAACTGCGGCCAAAAAGTCATGGCTTTAAATACCTCAATGGATATGCTAATTCAGAGTGAATGTGAACAGGATGGAAAACGTTTTATATATCTTTTTAAGTTCTTCAAAAGGAATATAAATGTAAGAAATAGACTATTGGTTTTTACGCCTACAATTTCTGGAACAAAAGCTGATTTTAAAGGATAACATTAGTCTGCTACGTTTCCTAATTAAACTAAGCTTTAGTCACAGCTTGGTCTTGGCTTCTGTGTGATCACATATATTCAATATTCACACACGTATTCTATCAGTTTATAATTGCTCAACATAACGACTGTTACTAATACCTTACTCTTTGGGACCTGACATTAACAGTGTTGCACCCAAACTGATACGTTTCTTACTGTACGTGATCTTATTAAACTCCTAAATCACCATAATTATCAGCAGCAGTGTAGGGGTCAGGGGTCAGAGCTGCAGCTCACTAACAATATTCAGGAATGATCAAAGATGAAGAAATGCAGAAAGGCCTTTTAAGGTGACACTGAGTTTTCACTGTAAAGTCTCTAAAGCTGGTATTAAACCCGAACAAAACAACATGGCTGACGTGAAGGCATCCCGAGCCGTACGTGAGTATACATTAATTGTCTCTCCCTCCAGGAGAATATCTCATTCCCCCGTTATCTTTTCATCTGTAGCTTTTCTGCAATGAAATACTAATGCCAGTTCATAAATCAAACAGTCTATTGTTGGAAAAACGAAAAAATATGTCTCAAATATCTGTGTGCCAAAAATGCAGACCAGATGGAGGGCGCTGCTTTCATGTGCACCCCCCCCCCCCCCCCCCCCTCTCCTTCCTCCGCAAATGTTATATATGATCATTCGGAGACGGAGGGAAAGAAAGACGAATTAAGAGAGGAAGGAAAGAAGGCAGAGAGTCCAATAGGAGTGCTCTCTCTGTGTGTGTGTGTGTGTGTGTGTGTGTGTGTGTGTGTGTGTGTGTGTGTGTGTGTGTGTGTGTGTGTGTGTGTGTGTGTGTGTGTGTGTGTGTGTGTGTGTGTGTGTGTGTGTGTGTGTGTGTGTGTGTGTGTGTGTGTGTGTGTGTGTGTGTGTGTGTGTGTGTGTGTGTGTGTGTGTGTGTGTGTGTGTGTGTGTGTGCGTGTGTGTGTGTGACTTCCAGGCTTTATGATGTCGGACAGGAAGTGGAGTGCTAAGATATCAAATATTTCCTGTTTGAGTCTGATGGTGATTTATGCAGAATGACTCACTGCTCAGACAGGGTGTTGATAACCATGTTAGCAGGGATTTTGTAATTCACAGGTCAAAATATGTCTAGATCTGTGGGGCTAAATAAATATGACCCTGCTTTGGATGCCAACATGTGAGTATTGTTTTGAATTTGAATGGGTGTGTTTCATTCTGCAGGAGCTCCTAAATATCTAAATACTCAATGTGGTTTTATGTAATTAAGCGTTGAGAAAAAAGGCTCCCCCGATATCGCTGAGGTGCTGAAACTACTGTATCGTAATGGACATCTGCACAGTTAAATTGTCCAAAAATAAATTGTCACCTGTAACTTTTTGCAAATGAAAATACATTTTGCACAGATTTATTTCATAATAGTTTAAATAATAGTCCTATTTTTTACATTTTCTCTGCTCTTACTGAGTTTTGTGTATGCACCATACACAACAAAGCACATTATTATTAAAACTAATTAGCAATAAATGTGTTTCTGATTCTGAGATATTAACTATTATGTGTGCTGATTGTATTCGTCTCTTATGCTGGTTAGAACTCGTGACAGTATGTAATGAAATCTGTCGGATGTTGTGCTAAAACAACAATTAACAGGTGAAATGTGACTCTTATCTGATTAATTAATCCACGTTCTGCCTTTTCCTTGATGCACATTGCATGAGATGAATGAGACTCGGTGGTGGCGAAGCTTGGCAACTGGAAGATCACCAGTTCAAGTCCCGGCAAGACCAAGCTACCGAGGTGTCCCTGAGCAAGGCACCGTTCCCTACACTGCTCCCCGGCAGATAAACCATGTTGTTACATAGTCCATACATGTCCTGTGTAATGACAATAAAAGTCAAAAAAAGACAGAACGAACGAGAGTTAAGAGGAGAAGTGTCTCTGTCTGTCTGTGCTGCAGATCTGGAGACTTTCTTTCTTGGCATCAGACAAAGCAGCTGTTTTTATATGGAGCAACATGTGGTACTAAGTGCTATATTCAGACCATTAGTTCCACATTAAAGGTCACACAGATCAAAATAAATAATAGTCCTTTTATGTAGCAACATTAAAAACGATATAGAGGGTTTGGTATACAGATGCGTGAAGACGTACCTGTTTCGGCCTGAGTCTCTGAATCCTTTGGCAAACGGGTTGCGGTCGATCTTTAGTCTGGTGATCTGCGAACAAGAAGAATGTGGAAAGGAGATGTTTGTGATTATTTGAGCTTAACATGGCTTTTCAAAAACACTCAAATACCAACATTTCTGTGCTTTTCCACAATAGTATTTGTCTCCTAAACTAGGGAAGTTCCTTTAATGCCATGTAGTATTGACAATGAGTCTAATCATTCAAATGCAAAGATTTAGTAATAAAAGCAAACTTTATTGCATTTTGATCAATTTGAACACCCCTCCTTCAAAAGGGGACACGTTCTTTGGAGACAAGGCCATGATCAAAGTAGTTAAACTGTGGATTGTATGTTAAAAAATGTTGTTGTTTGTTGAGGGTCTTTTTGTTTTGACTTTGGCTTATCAAAGTGATTCTAAATGTTAACATATGTACACAGAATGCTGTGGTGACGGATACAATTGCAAATATTCTTCAACCATTTTTGCAGGAAGAGTTGCATGAATACAATTGTTTTGCAAAGAACACAGAATTGTTATTATTGTTTGAGATTGCAAGATGTACATTTGTGGGGTGGCTTCCTTTAATTGGATTAGATGTAAGCAGGGGCGGTTCTAGGGGGGGGGCAGTGCCCCCCTAACACTGACCTGTGGCCCCCCCTAACAATGAAAAGTGTATTTATTTATTTTTTAAATGTATATTTTCTGGTACTCGGTTTGCCAAAAAACGCAGGATTTTGTTGCTGTAATGTGAGATTGTGCAGACACCCTTATGTAAAGTAGAGATGTAACTGTTCATTGTCTTTATTTTTATATAAATATGGTGTTAGTGCAAACATTGCACTATAACTTCAGCTGAAGCTAACAGTAATAACTATAAGATCTATCTGAAATAAATAAGTGTACTGAAACAAATACCAATAACTGTATTGCATTGTTTTCTTATGCGCAATTACTTCATACTGTCTAGTTCTCTTTTTCGTCCTGCATTTGTTGTGCCCCCCTCAGAAAATAACTGGCCCCCCAGTGGCCCCCCCAGTCAAATTGGTCTAGAACCGCCACTGGATGTACGTTGCTCACCTGTTGGTTCTGGTAGGCAGTGACGGTGGTGAACACGGTCTCGGGGAAGCTGAAGGTCTTCACTCCCTCCCCGCTCGGCACCGGCTTGTTCTGAGACAGCTCGCTGCTGAAGTCCTTCCTGATCACATGAACACGAGGCTGATACTTGTGCATGGAGTGCAGGATGATCTGAAACATGTGAAAGAGAAGAAGGTGAAGCACAGCTGATGTTTTTGTGAGAATATTTGCTAAATAAACTAAAATGACAAAGGACAACTTCCAGACTGCGAACATGTTGCTTGTCTGTTTTGCTTGTGACACACACAAATATCCAGAAAAATAAGTACATATTTGAATATTACTTCCAAGTAACAGTTTCATTTGAAAAAGATGTCAAACTTCTGACAGTTGGATGAGATTTCTACAGACCCCGGGAGAGAGAAATACAAAATATCAAAGCTAGGATGAAGTCATTTGTTGTTATGAGATGTTATCGACTTTTTGACGTGTCAATTGGAAGTCCTGCAAAAACTGCACTGTGACTTTGTGAGAAAGACGGGTCTGTTATGCCGGGTCTCTGTACAAACATATATCTTGTCTGCATAAATGAAAACGTGTGGCCTTGATTTATTCTTATGTCTTCTCCAATGTTCCTTTGGCTTTAGTAAGGATTAGTCATGTTGTTGTGAAATAACAGATGGTTAGGAACAGGAAGTCAATTAAGTGGCCTTCATAAATAAGGTATATATCAGAGGTCTGTACTGTCTGCATGCGTGAAGTGTGTCTCGAAACCTTTCAAAACCCCAACACGTTTTCTCCCTCTTTGCAAACACACAATACTACATGCAAGTTTCTTGTAACGTCAATTATCTCGACGGCTTCTCTTTGAGGGCCACGTGACATGAAGCGGAAACCGAGTTCACACTGCGATGACGATGCCGCCGGGCCGAGGATTATTTCACAGCAGAGCGAGGCGTCAGACGGCCCCAGCCTCGCCTCGGGGCCTCGGTCTGCTCTTGATTAATCAGAGAGTGAGAAAATCTAACCAGAGCCAAACACACCCCGACCCCCCCGACTCTGCTACAACAGAGGGGGTCATTTCAAACTATGGGCTGTGGGGAGTACAGCTCGGAGTATTAAAGACTACATGTCATGTTCCAGACAAATTAGGACTGAGCTGCATAAAAGATACCAACAGATGTATGTTGTAATCTGCAACCCTTGTTTTACACTTCGCCCAGAGACCACCTGTGGACCCAACTGTGTGCAGCTTTACAAGAAAAGGAAGAACTACTTTTACATTTAAAAGAATTGTAGTCCTAAATGTAAAAGAAAAATCGGAACTCAGAGAAATAAATCAGCCTAAATGATAAGGGGACACATTATTCTCATTTAAGAGTGTGGGAGATAAACACACCGGGATGTTAGCCTTTGCAGACCCTTTACATGCACCAACAACACCTATACAACACACTCCAGGAAAGGGATAACCCCAAAAAGCACAATAGGGGCTCTTTCTACTTAGGTCTTGCTGATGAGACGGTTCAAATACACTCATGAGTCAAAAGAAGACAACAAGTGCTAAAGCGACGAACAGAAAAGCTTTTATGAAGTGAATGCAGGTTGAATCGCAGTCATGTTTTGGTAATAGAGATTTCAAACACACACACACACACACACACACGCACACACACACACACACACACACACACACACACACACACACACAGCTGCCTTGCGGCCCAGAGGAGTCATGCTTGAGTCCCTGCTCGGCCTGAGGTGATGTTCAGTCAGAGTGGATCACACATCGCTGAACAAACGCCGCAGAGGGCAGCCAGAGGACATCAGCTGACAGTTGTTCACGCTCAAATACAATTAGGATAAATAAGTGATGTTTTCCTTTTCATGCTCGTAATGACGTCCGTTTAACCCACTTTGAAAATCCTATGGATATTCAATGTAACACATGTGTCTCCATGAAGTCAAATCCAATCACATTTAGTTTATAAAGCCCTGACTACACAACAGTGTGGCCTTAACTGATTTCCAAGCACAGTTAAAAACACTTGAATGACCATGGAAATGCAGCGATCAAAGCAGTAGTTATGTCTTTTGAAATGACATCCTGTTTCAGCCAAGAACCATGAGGACTCTCACTTTGAGTCACCAATAGAGACAGTAAATGAGAATAACACAATATACCGCTGTCATGTTCAAACAAGAATCTCTGAGGGGTCAGATTCACTGCATTGAAGAAAAACAGACAAATGTTGAAAGCAGACTTTGTAGAAAACCCATTCAGCTGAGTTTTAAACGATCTCCCACAAAAGCTTTGATTACAATGCAATGGATCATTAACAACAAAGCAACTCTGAAAGAAACAGAAGAAATGTTTTGGCCGGTCCAGAACGCTGCAGAGTTTTATTGGATTTTCCCACAGAGCGGAGAAGACGGATAGACGAGAGGAGAGAGTGACAGCAGCGTGAGGCGGATCTGAACACACGAGAGAGAAGCCTGAGGCCAACGAGGCGTCACAAAGACTTTAAAGTGCGAAGCCTTCTGTGTGAAAATCACATGACAAAGCTGCTTGATTGTTTTCAGATTATGGATGAAAGAAAACACAAGTGTTGCCTCAAGCAGCTGCTTTCCAACTTCTCTGATTTGCTATTTTAAATAAACTCTCCATGATACACATACCAGGAAATGTCCTGTACTTTAATTCAAGTGCGAAATAATTTAAATATGAAGTATTTCACTTGTTTTTTAATCATAAGGCTGTTTGCTCAATTTGGGGGGGGGGGGCATGGAGTAGAAATTAGAGATTTACATTTAATGTTTTTAACTTTTGCAGTTTCTTTCACAACCCTGTCTCTACTAGAAATGGTGTAATCGTACTTGAACATACAGTCATCTACAAAAGGGAGTACAATTGTTGTTCAAATGACGTTAAGTTGTGAATCTCCTCACAGTTGTTCAGTTAACGGTAAAACCTGCAACAATCATCACAAACTAGTGGAGTCGCTGTGTATCAAGATGTGCATAATAAAAAATGTTGTTTTCTCACCGACTCTGCTTCTGCTTTGCTTAATGATTAACGACATGTCTGTTTCTAATGAGGCATTCATTTGACGACACAGGATGAGCGAGGAGCGCTGAAATTAATTTCCTTTAGCCTCTAAACTACCTAAATGGAAAACAAAACCTTCAAAGTAACAGCAGTGGAGGAAAGACAACCTCCCCACACCCTGCATGTGAATCCTTGCCAACTAACAATCCACGTGTTTTTACGTTTACCAACTTAACGCTGATCATCTGCACGGCTTTGATGGCCTACACTAAACTGGAGGCCATTTTTTGGTCAAAGCACTGGAAACATCACTATGCCGCTCTTGTAACCATTTGGCACATCCGCTCTGAGAGTAAATTGATTTGCAGCGGATCCTCATGCACCAATATCTGCTCCAATCAAAGCTTCTTAAATATCTTGACAGGAGCCATCTTCATCTGTTTCCACGCTCAAAACAGAGCTAAGACTGTCCTGGGTTTGCTCTCAATTCATACGCTTTAATTTCCATAAATGAAACTGCAATGAATACTCTGAGTACCTTTACATACTTTGTGCAGATCATAATGAAAGGGGCTTTGAGTTATAGTTTTAATATTACTTGAAGTCGCCATTTTCTTTAGATTTATGTGGTCCTTAAATTACAGTTTGGTTTTATTTGTTGTAACGACCATTTAAGGGCGGAACAATGTGTTCTCAATACAGGCACAGCATGACCTTAGAGTTTAAGTCATGTGAAGGTGGAGTCAATGATGAAAAATAATACTGTATTTTGAGTTAAATGGTGTCTTTCTCTTGTGTTTAAAGCTACATACATGTGTATATGGCCGCTAGGGGGGAAATAAATATTAAAATAAGTAGACAGCGACCATATCATTGGGTTTTTAAGGTTTGTATTGCCGACGCATTCACCGAGAGAAGCCTATATACGCATTCATCAGATATCCAGCAAATTTAGGGTCAATTGGACATTTCTTCTCACCTAATGGATTAAAGTCCAATATGCATTTTCCTTTTTTCCTGATTTGTTCTCAACACTCAGGAACTGTTTTTAAGAGATTTTCAGATCTTATATGCTCAAAATAATTTCATTGCTGCACAGAGGACCATTATATTACAGTTTAGTCATTTCAAGAAAATTATATTTTAATATTTAGTAGACTGTTTTTGTACCTTTCATTTGTGGGGCCTTTTTAAACATAAGGGGCAATTTAAAGCTAATAACGTTTTCTTCCACCTTATTGCCCTGTTCCCATGAAACCCATTTCTAACTATAGAGAAGTATAAAAGTACAAATAAAGGACTCAGTTGAGCATGCCGATTAAACATAAGGAAGTCAGTAAATCAAACGGATTGTGGTCTAACTGTTTCACCTGAGACCCACATTACAGATTTAGAGCCGCCAAGAACCAATAAGAAGCGTACTCTAGCTCACCACCTCTGTTGCTGACTGGCTGCAGGCGAGGCAGTAAATCAGAAGGATTGTGGTCAGAATAAAAGTTTAGCTCAGCGGTGCGGCTGCAAATCAAATTCAATCATTAAGTGACTTTAACGAAACCATTTTTATTACAAAATGCTCTACAGAGCCATGAAGGAAATGAACATTATATATTAAAACAAGGGCACGGGTTCAAATCCCAGACCTCTAATACCTCTCCACGCTAATCCTCAAACCTATTAACATCCAGTCAGGGTGGACCATCTTCTGAACGAGAGTGTGGGAGGGCAGACTGTCATGTAGTGCAGGAAATCAATCTCATGGCTCCATGACTCATGAATGCATGAAGTAACGTGTCGACTTTCCTTTCAAGCAAACGCATCAAAAACATCTCAATCCAAGAAACTGCCTCACGGCTCCAGCAGCGCATTCATTTCTGCAGAGCATGAAGTATATAGCAGGAAAATGAAGCTAATAAATCACAGCTTGAACATTTACTCCCAGAGCATTTTACCCAAAAAAGAAAATGGGATCATCTTGTTACAGGTTCCAATGCAAGGTCAGTCATTTATTTTAACTGATGATTCTGTCGGTCCATGATTCAACAGTTATTATTATATGTGTGAGATGTATAAAACATGAAATATTAAACCACATTAACCTCATTGAAAGATTGTTATGTTGCCTTTAGGTGAAGCGAGAAATATCAGAATTATTCATGAGTAAACAAGCTACACATGCAGACGAGAAAGTAACCATTATATATTAACTGATATGATTGAAATTATGATAGCTTGTAATCATATCAATATACTTTTTTAAATGAAAAACAAAGAAGTCAATAAATGAATAAATGTGTAATCTATCACTTATGTTCCCCTCTCATGGGAAGTATTAGCATGTTCCACATTAATATGGAGGTATTTTAGGACACTAATACATTTTAAAAGAACTATTTAAATAACCTTGCATCACTTAATGCTGTACAGAAAAAGCCCCCAGCTGTTGTTGTGCTGTTGGGCTACATAAATGAGATTTGATTGACTGATTGATATTATAACACTATCTAAATATGCTCCAAAGTCATATGTAAACAACCTAACAATATGTTCATGTGTGCAGCTTTCAGTAAAAGCACTCAGAAGACGTTAAAGAGGTCTCTTACGTGTCCCTGGTCGTCCAGCTCGTTGTTGGTGAGTTTGAGTTTGTCGAAGCTGACCACCTGTCTCGTCCAGGTGTCTCCGGAGGCCAGGGAGTCGGGGTGGATGTACGCCCTCGGAGGGACCGGGGAGTCGGCGTTTCCTGCCACCATCCACTTAGAGCTGTGGTACACATACCTGCAGGAGGAGAAGAAGGGGAAATATTGAGCACCAAACCCACCATTAATACAGGGAGGTATTGTTTTTTAAAAACTGTATGAATGTTAACGATTACCCTCAACGTAAAAAGTAGATTTTCAACTGCACATAGAAACTTTACTGAATATTAACCCAAAGTTTGACAATAGATTAATGATTAGTATGGCTTATTTTCAGATAAAGAAAGTGATATAAACAAATATAAACACTTATCTAGCTGCCCATACCTTTATACCTATCCCTATAAACACTTGATTGACATAGTACACATGTTATTGTTTAAGTACTGTCAACTATATCAGTGAGGGATACATGTACCATTTTAGAATAACAACATTTTTGCAGAATTATTGGTTTTCTGTTGTCCTTTTTTGCACTTTTGGGAACATTGTTTTGGCTCATGTTAGGGGGACATGTTTTGTTTCATGGTGACTCTTCGTGCTTTTGTATGATTCCATGTGAATCCCTGCTTGCTGGAAGATCAGGCTCAAATGTCTTCTGCATTCCCCACATTTTGGAGGATAAGTGTGCGCTCTTTAAATTCAATTATTTGAAATGTTAATTAAAGGAAGCACAATGCTATCCTGCAACAGTGTTATTGCATTCATCATCCATGTTTTTATTCCACAGAAGGTCAGTGCACTCTGCAGGACTAATACTCCCTTGTCACTTCACTGTTTTGAGACTCGTGGGTTACAATAAAGTTTGTTTTCATTTCTGCGAGCCCGGAGCTCCTCTGCTTGTTTCACTCAGTGGAAAACAAACTCAAAACACTCGGCCACGTTGCCACAACACCGGCTTTAAGAACTCATCTGTTGTTTTTTTTCATTGTGCTTGAAATTTCTATTCAAGAGCGACATAAAATATTCCATATGCAGCCACACACTCGGCTGCATAGTTTCAATTAAGCTAAGTCATAATATTTGATGATGTTGTGTGAGTGCGGGGCGTCAGGGTGTCTCACCCGTTAAACAGCAGGGAGAGAGAAGAAAGGGAGACAGAGAGAGAAATGCACTTTTATTCTACGTA